CTTAGCTGTTGCTTTCCTGAATGCTCCAACTCCTAGGTAGGGTCGCACTGGGATAATTTGCTAAAGGGGGCGGGCAGTGTAACCCACCCCGGGCGGTTCCCCCGGTTGCGCCCCCCTGGTTCCCCCGGTTGCGCCCCCTGGGTTCCCCTAGCTTAGCTTAGCTTAACTTGCCTTACCTCAGCTTAGCTTAGCTTAGCTTAGCCAAGCTTAGCTTAGCTTAGCTTAGCTTATCTCATCTTAGCTTAGCTTAGTCTAGCCTAGCTTAGCCTAGCTTAGCTTACCTTACCTTAGCTGACCTTAGCTTAGCTTAGCTCAGCTTATCTTAGCTTAGCTTTCCTTGTCTCATCTTAGCTTAGTTTAGCTCAGCTTAGCCTAGCTTAGCTTAGCTTAGTTTAGCTTAGCCTAGCCTAGCTTAGCTTAGCTTAGTTTAGCTTAGCCTAGCCTAGCTTTGCTTAGCTTAGCGTAGTTTAGCTTAGCTTATCTTAGCTTAGCTTAGCTTAGCTTATCGCATGTTAGCTTAGCTTAGCTTAGCTTAGCTTAGCTTAGCTTAGCTTAGCTTAGCTTAGCTTAGCTTAGCTTACCGCTGCTTAGCTTCGCTTAGCTTAGCTTATCTCAGCTTAGCTTAGCTTAGCTTAGCTATCTTAGCTTAGCTTAGCTTAGCTTAGCTTAGCTTAGCTTAGCTTAGCTTATGCTGCTTTCCTAGGGGCTCCAACTGCTAGGTAGGGTCGCGCTGGGATAATTTGACAACTGGCGGGCGTTCGGGACTCGAGCCAGCGACGTTCAGATTCTAAGCCAGAATGACCTCCAGATTCTAGGCCGGAGAGCTAACCACTGGACTGCGGGGCCGCCGATTTGACGGGCCTTACTGTCAGAAAGGTTCCAGGGGGGTTCCCCGGGAGGGGGGCCTCCGAGCCATTTGACAGCGGGCCCCACTGTCAAACAGGTTCCAGGGGCACCTCCAGGGAGAGCGCTTGGGGGCCATTTGACAATGGGCTCCGCTGTCAAAACGGCCGGCTCGAGCGCCGCCTCTTCCGCCGGCCCGGCAGCCCGGCGCGCCGCCGGCGCTGAAGAGGCCGCGGCTCGCCGACCTCGCGCAGGCCGCGAGCGGCGCAGAAGAGGAAGCGCAGGCCGCGAGCGGCGCCCAGGCCGCGGGGCCCGGCGTCGCCCGCGAGGCCGCGGGTTCCGGCGCCGACGGCGGCGCGCGCGCCAACGCGCCCGCCGCGGCCAGCGCGGGGGCACAGAGCGCGGCGGCGCCGCTGACGTCTCAGCCAGGTGGCCGCGTCGCCAGCCGAAGCGTCGCTAGCCAGGCGATGGGATCGGCGACGGGGGCCGCGACTGGCTCGGGGCGCGCCGCCTCAAGCGGCCTGGGCGGAGCGCTCGGGCGTCGGCGCCCCTGCGGTTTCCGCAGCGTGGGGAACTCGTGCTACGTGAATTCCCTGCTGCAGGCCCTCTTCCCGCTGGCCCCAGCGCAGCGGATGATTGCCGCGACGCTGGGCGCTCTGGGCGACGAGCCTGAGGAGGGCCTGTTCGACTTGCTGCGACAGGGGAACAAGCTGGCGGGAACGGCCATAGCAGCCTGGCGCGCCCGCGGGGCGCTCGAGCCCGAGCTCTTCGCGGGCTGGCGCAACGGCGAGCAGGAGGACGCGCAGGAGTTCCTGCAGCTGAACCTGTTGCAGAACGATGGCTCGGAGCTCGCGGACCTGTGCCGCGGGGTCGACTGGCCGCGGTTGTCGAGCCCTGACTGCCCTGCTTCTCGAGACGCTACAGGCGCCGAGCCCTTCGCGATTCTCTCCTTGCCGCTTGCGGTCGCGGACGGCCGCCGAGCCTCTGCGTCGGCGCGCGCTGCGCTGGCGGATTACATCGAGGCTCCGTGCCCGGTGGAGGTGGGCGACTGGCAGTGCCCGTGCGCGGGTTTCCTCGCGCACCGTGCCAGCGTGCTCAAGACGCACCGCGTCACTTGCTTCCCGGAGATCCTGCTGCTTCACCTGGTGCGCTGGGACAGCTTCGGCCGCGCGGCGCCGCACCCGGTGGCAGCCGACGCCGTCCTCGAGGCGCGCGGCCCGGACAGCGTCGGGATCTTCTCGTTGAAGGCTGCGGTCGTGCGCAGGGGCGCCACCGCCCGCAAGGGCCGCTACTGCGCCTTCGCGAAGTACAACGGCACCTGGTGGCTCTGCGACGACGACGCCTCCCGCGTCGCCACCGAAGCTGAGATCGCCTTCTTCGGCGGCGGGCAGGGCGCCGCGGCGCTGACGAAGGTCTACCTCGCTTTCTACGAGCGGCTCGACAGCGCGGCGCCCTTGCCCGCGCAGGGCCGCCTCGTCGCGGAGGCGTCGGACGCGGCTCTCTGAGGCCCGCGGCAGCGCCGCGGAGAGCCCCGCGGCGCGCCCTGCACTCCGACTTGGAAAGCATCGTCTTCGCGTCATCGGTTTCATTGGCGCGTTCGCCGCCTCCGCACTCCCCTCCGTCCTCGCCGGCTTCGCCTTCCTCGCCTCTCTCGCAAGCCCTTCTATCGCCACGACCCCTGAAGTCGTCACCGTCATCACCATTCTCATCATTTCCACCGTCGACACGGTCGAACATCAACGCCATTCCCGCCGGGCTCACCACCCCCACCGCCCTCACCATCTTCACGACTCCTATCATCCTCGCACTCCCGCTACTCCCATCATCCCCCCCATCCTCTACAATCTCACCATCGCCGCCGTGCCCGCGCCCCCGCCACCTCCGCCACCCTCGCCATCAAAAGTTTCGAGGTTCGCTCCTTTTCGCTGTTTTTTCGCAATGGCATCATTCGAGCTTGCTCAATACGTGGTGTTTTTCGTTTTGAGGGTTTAGGGTTTTGGGTTTAGGGTTTAGGGTGTGGGGTTTAGGGTTTAGGGTTCAGGGTCTACTAGGCGCGGCCACGAGTACACTTGGACCGCGAACCCACCTGCGGTGGCCGTCACTCCCACCCGCACGCCACCCCACCATAAAGATCATCTCTCCCCTCGGTAGAACCACAGCGAGTGCAACGTCGACGACGACGACGACGACGACGGCGACGACGGATGTACGATCCAGTTGGCACGCGAGTGTTCTAACGGGCTAAAGATTCTGCACGCATGCGCAGGAAGCGCGAGGTTGTCCAGGAGATGGAGCCGGTGTACAGAAGGGGGTCGCATTTTGTATTGTAAAATACAGGAGATTCTGCACGCATGCTCAGGATGGAGCATGCTCAGGATCAGCAAATGCTATTTTTTGCAGTAGATGGAGCGGGTTTACATAAGCGGATCGCAACGGGGGCCAGGCACTCTGTGGTGTAAGATACAAGAGATTCTGCGCGCATGCTCAGCACATGCTATTTTTTGCAGGAGATGGACCGGGCTCGCAACGGGGACCGGGCTCTTTGTAGTGTAAAATTCAGGAGATTCTGCACGCATGCCCAGGAAATGCTATTTTTTTGCACGAGATGGAGCCGGTTTGCATAATGACCGGTCTTACAGTAATTAGGGTTTAATAATTATAGGATTAGAAATTTAGAGTTTAGGGTTTAGGGTTATGTATATATATATATATATATATATATATATATATATATATATATGTAGCCCCCCCCCCAGATCATAACATGTTTCGTATTATTCTTGATCGTCGTCGCCCTCTCATCCTACTCCTCCTCCCTTCCTCCTCCTTCCCTCGCGGGCGCTCTCGTGCAAGAAAACGCTGTGATTTTGGTTTTTGTGGTTTTTTTGGTCTGTGAAGCCACGAAACACTGTGTATTTTTGTTTTTTTTGGTTTTTTTGGTTTTGCAAGCCCCCATGCTCGCCGCGGCCGCCCTCCCAGCGCCCCTCTCTCCGCCTCCCCAGACCAGAAAAACCAAAAATACACAGTGGTTGGCGCCCCCGATGCAAGGAAACGCTGTGTATTTTTGGTTTGTTTGGTTTTTTTGGTTTGTGAAGCAACGAAACACTGTGTATTTTTGGTTTTTTTGGTTTTTTTGGTTTTGAGAGGCAGAGAGAGGGGCGCTGGGAGGGCGACCGCGGCGAGCATGGGGGCTTGCAAAACCAAAAAAACCAAAAAAAACAAAAATACACAGTGTTTCGTAGCTTCACAAACCAAAAAAACCAAACAAACCAAAAATACACAGCGTTTCCTTGCATCGGGGGCGCCAAACACTGTGCATGCTTGCTTTCTTTCTTGATTCGGGAGGCACAGAGACAGGTGCTGGGAGGGAGGCGACAGGGGGGCGACAGTAGTAGTAGTAGTAGTAGTAGTAGTTAACGTAAACGTAGCAGTAGTAGCAGTAGTGGTAGTAGTAGTAGTAGTAGTAGTCGTAGTAGTAGTAGTAGTAGTAGTAGTAGTAGTAGTAGTAGTAGTAGTAGTAGTAGCAGTAGTAGTAGTAGTCGTAGTAGTAGTTGTCGTAGTAGTCGTAGTAGTCGTAGTAGTAGTGGTTGGCGCCCCTGGTGCAAGGAAACGCTGTGTATTTTTGGTTTTTGTGGTTTTTTTGGTCTGTGAAGCCACGAAACACTGTGTATTTTTGGTTTTTTTGGTTTTTTTGGTTTTGAGAGGCAGAGAGAGGGGCGCTGGGAGGGCGACCGCGGCGAGCATGGGGGCTTGCAAAACCAAAAAAAACAAAAAAAACAAAAATACACAGTGTTTCGTAGCTTCACAAACCAAAAAAACCAAACAAACCAAAAATACACAGCGTTTCCTTGCATCGGGGGCGCCAAACACTGTGCATGCTTGCTTTCTTTCTTGATTCGGGAGGCACAGAGACAGGTGCTGGGAGGGAGGCGACAGGGGGGCGACAGTAGTAGTAGTAGTAGTAGTAGTAGTTAACGTAAACGTAGCAGTAGTAGCAGTAGTGTAGTAGTAGTAGTAGTAGTAGTAGTAGTAGTAGAGTAGTAGTAGTAGTAGTCGTAGTAGTAGTAGTAGTAGTAGCAGTAGTAGTAGTAGTCGTGTAGTAGGTTGTCGTAGTAGTCGTAGTAGTCGTGTAGTAGTCGTAGTAGTAGTAGTAGTATGTATAGTAGTAGTAGTAGTAGTAGTAGTAGTTAGTAGTAGTAGTAGTAGTAGTAGTAGTAGTAGTAGGTAGTAGTAGTAGTAGTAGTAGTAGTAGTAGTAGTAGTAGTAGTAGTAGTAGTAGTAGTAGTAGTAGTAGTAGTAGTAGTACTAGTAGTAGTAGTAGTAGTAGCAGTAGTAGTAGTAGTAGTAGTAATCATAATAATAGTAGTAGGAGTTGTGGTAGTAGTAGTAGTAGTAGTAGTAGTAGTAGTAGTAGTAGTAGCAGGAGGTGGAGAAGGAGCAGGAGGAGGAGGAGGAGGGGGAATAGGAGGAAGAGGAGAAGGAGGAAGCGGAAGGAGCGGAGGAGGAGGAGGAGGAGCATGAGAAGCGGGAGAAGGAGCAGGGGCAGGAGAAGCAGGAGTAGGAGGAGGAGAAAGAGAAGCAGGAGGAGGAGGAGGAGGGCGAAGAGGAGGAGTGGGAGGAGGAGGAGGAGGAGGAGGAGGCGGAGGCGGAGGCGGAGGCGGAGGCGGAGGCGGAGGAGGAGGAGGAGGAGGAGGAGGAGGAAGAGGAGGAGGAGGATGAAGCGGAGGACGAGGAGGAGGAGGAAGGGGAGGCGAAGGGAGGAGGAGGGAGAAAGGAGGAGGAGGAGGAGCAGGAGAGAAGGTTTGGGGAGCAGGAGGAGGAGACGAGGAGGAGGTGAGAATGAAGCGACGGAGGAGAGGAGATCAGAAGTCGAGCGGAGTCGCGATTCCCAGGGACGACGCCGCCCGGTTCGGGAGGAGAGTCGGAGGAGGAGGAGGAGGGAGGCGCGGGGAGGAGGAGAAGAAGGCAGGAGAAAGAGGAGGAGAAGGGGTATGAGGAGGAGGAATGAGGAGGAGGAGGAGGGGAGGAGGAGGAGCAGCAGGAGGAGGAGGTGGAGGAGAAGTTTGGAGGAGGATGAGGAGGAGTAGGAGGAGGATGATGAGGAGGAGGAGGAGGAGGAGGAGGAGGAGGAGGAGGAGGAGGAGGAGGAGTCGCGATCACATAGGCGCCGAGTTTGGGAGAAGGAGGAGGGGGAGGAAGAGGAGGAGGAGGAGGAGGAAGAGGAGGAGGAGGAGGAGGAGGGGGAGGCGGAGGAGGAGGAGGAGGCGGAGGAGGACGAAGGGAGGAGGAGGAGGATGATGATGAGGAGGAGGAGGGAGAATATGTATGATCATGTGGGGGGGGGCAAGCA